AGGATAGTTCTTGTGCTCATCTCTTGATAATTTATGTAAAACTCTTGTAGCGAGATAAGGCGCACCTACTGTGCCGTACGTTACAGTTTTGAGCTCCCAAGTCTTAACTGGTTCATTTACCCCCCCTCCCTCCAAAGAATACTCAGAAGTTTAGTTTGGCTTGGGTCAATTAAAATCATCCTATACATTTGTCTAACATCCGTCCGAACTTATGTTTACGAAATCTAGTCATTATTTTAAGCAAGTCTTCCTGTATAACCCCACCGTTTTATTGTAGGGAGTTAAGAGAATTTCCTAAGATTGTTTGTGAGAATACACTGAACCCTATACGAAGCTTTGTTGTACTTTTATCAGGGTGATAGACTCCTAAATGCGGTATATAATATGTTCCTACTAATTTCTCACAATACGAAATTTCTATCATGTGACTCAAGTTTTCGTATTCGCATAAAAATTTCCTACATTATGCTAAATACTCAGGCTCCTTTAAAAAACGATTCCATAGCGAATTTTAATTTCGGAAAGGGAATATCTTTGGATTTCCCTAAACACATTGGATCATCTTTTAACTGTATTTTTACTATATACCTCCCTTTACTATCACTTTTAAAGTGCTTTTCGTAAATTAATGCTTCTTTATTTTTGGGTACCTCAATTTGAACACTTTCCCAAAATTTCTCCAAAAGTTTTGTTTAGACCAGTGTTATTCTCAATGAAGCCACAATATAACCTTCTCTTCATTTCAATGGGAACACTTCCAGTTGCTACGTATCAAAAATTGTATTTTTAAAAATCAGATTACCATTAATCGGACAAATTGGACCTGGCCGCAACAATTCATAAAATATCTCGGCATTTAAAAACAAATCTGTATGACCTGGTGTATTAAAGTTTTCATCTGTGAGTTTTATGTATATTAATTCTGGTATATTAAACATTTTTGACGGCATGGAATCCGTAATTTTAGATACAATCAAAAAATATAATTATTTGACAAATTTTCCCTCAAAGTAAGAAAGAGTTGCACTAACAAAAGGTTTATTTGTTATCAATGTATCTCCAATATCATAAACCCCCCCAGACGCGTAGCTAGGTTTTTCAGCGCCCGGGGACGTAGCTAGGTTTTTTGCGCCCCTTTCTGTGTGCCAAGAATGAAAAAAGTTTCATTCTAAAATTTCATAACATCAGTTAGGCGCCCCTGGATCCTGCGCTCGAGGACAGATGCCCTCGCCCTAGCTACGCCACTTTCATAAACTGTCAAATAAGTTTTCTTTCTCTTTAAATTAAGGCTATTTGCACAGTCTGCCGTCATATATTTATCCATGACTCCTTAATCTAAAATCACTTCCAGTCTATATTTATTCCACTTTCAATAAACAATTTACAGTACTCAGCAAAATGGTTTTTGTCCTATTTATTACCAGCGAAGAGAGCATGGATTACTGTTTTGACTCCATGAAGTAGAAATACCTGACTGAAATACCGGGACATGTGGCGATAAACCAGAGTCCTTTGCTCTTACATTGAGGGAATGAAGTTCACGGCCAGTTGCTTAAGTTGCATTTCCATAGCGCAATGATTCAGAATTTCTCAGAGAATATAAAGAAACAGGATGGCGCTTGATTATTCCATTTCGCTTACACAAAGGACAAGAAAATTGTGATTTACAGGATTTAACCAAATGTTCGTCCAAACAACTAAAGCAGTAATTATTTTTCTATTTACTTCTCCTCTTTCAGAAACCGGCAACACAATATAATTTCTATATTTATTTAAGGAATGGCTTTTAAAACAAAAGATACACTTCAAACTCTCGCTCAGCTAGAAATATCCTAGGTACTTTTCTCGAATATTTTATTATCCATCAATGGTTTTCCCTGTAACACACACACACACACACAAAAAAAAAATAAAAAAATAAAAAAAAAAAAGATCTGCTTCTTTTCCCAAGGTTATGGGATCAAACCAGCTATCTGATTGTTTAACCCTTTGCGGCACAGTGTGTCCGGTCTGGACACACAATAAAAATTTCCTTTTGTACGCACAGAAAAATTGAATGAAAAAGGATTTCTAAGTTACTATAGGTTACTCTGAACCTTCTTTATTTATAGTAGATAGCAGCTCAACACAAACCAGTCCATATATTTTAGACATGTTTAGTTTTTTTAAGACCCTCATTTTTCAAAGAAATCTTCCAGATTTTTTTTAGGGTATAAAAGTAATTGTTTGAAAAGAAATTTCTCTGTTATTTTTTTTTTTTTGTCTGTATGCTAATCTCCTTATTCTATATTAGTTTTAAATTTTTACCTTGAAATCTTACCTAAAATCAAACGGCGAATCCTAGGTGTGCCCAGACGGGCTCACCGATAATCTAGGACAACTGAGAGTCTGCATTCTTTGTTTTTCCGCATCTCATCGGTTAGTTCATTGACAACAATGCTCGTTTCAGCACTCTTTTCGAAGCTCTATTCAATCAGTGTGCCGCTTTGTGCACACCCACAGAATTAAAACGATAAGTGCCATCTTCTCAAAATTTTACATCTGTATTCCTCTAGGACTAATTAGACTGCCTATCTTTTTTTTATATAAAAACTCTGGTTTTAAAAGGTAGCGTGCCGGAAAGGGTTAATGCTGAGATGGGATGCGGTTTCTTTATTTAAAGTTTGAAGCAATTTGTCTGATACAATTAATTGCTTTAGTTTCTCAATACGAGACACTTCTCTTAATTTTTAATAATAATTAAAACTAGTCATCAAATGCGATAGAAATTGCGCATGGGTTTCATTTGGTTGCTGAGTAGTTTTTCTGAATTGTTCTAAATACAATTGAGGCGTTGGCTCGAATTTTCGTAATACAAGTTTCTTTATTTTATCAAAATCAATAAAATCATTTTCACTTACGTCAGAAAATTACGTTTCAAGCTTTTTGACCTAGCGAATTCAAAAGAATCTCTACCTTAAAGTTATGTATTTTTTGTTACAAAGGATCTTTCCAAAGAGGCAGAAAAACCCCCATCCTTCTGGTCAAGTCGGTATTCTCATCGTTAAAGATCTTATACATTTTATTAGCGAATCTGTACAATCATTTTTCTCAATTTTATTTTCTGAAGCGTCATTGTTAGTCTTTGGAACTGTTTGCATGTGTGACAATTCTAATTCAGCTTCCACTCTCTCTCTCTCTCTAATTTAATTTGTTCTAACTGTAATTCTAATTCTTTTCTTTTTCTTGACAGTCTGTAACTCTATTTTCTGATCCTCAATTATCGCCTCTATTAGATTAGATGCAAATTAAGGTTCTTTTTTGAATTTCTCAGTATTCTTTATAATATTAATCAGATCTATAGTCAACATTCTATCTGTTATTACCTCTCCTAACTCTGCAGCAGCAAGTTGCAAATAAATTTATCTCACGTTTTTAAACATTTTAAAAACAAACCTCAATTACAAAACTCAACACAACTAACTCTTAATTCAATAAAAAAATAATAACACAAATTATCTTATGAAAGTAAATTATCAGAAAGCATCTGTTTCATTACTGGAGGCTAATTCAGTAGTATATCCTGAGAATGGTTCACTTTTTGGCATGCATCGTCGCAGCACATTGAAAAAAAAAAAAAAAAGAGAAGGCTGGAGTTTTCACATCTCATAATTATCCATGGTACACTTGATAACTCATGATTGCACGGACCAGGTTTTAATGATTAAAGACACTTGTTACAATAACTTCAGTGAACTGTAACTTTTTTTTACTTTCATTTTAAAAAACACTCAAAACATTTTTTGAACTCTCCATTCTAAGAATTTATTATTATCCAAAATCTTAAACAAAAGCCGCTCTCGACTTCCATGGCAACTTAACCTTTTCCTTCTTCTAGCTGGCACTGCTACAATAGTGCTTATAATTAGGTGCGAAACAATGATAATTAAACTCTTTCATTGCATTCAGTATTTATTACATATTTATTATTTATTACAGAACACAATTATAAAAGCCCCCTCCCCCAAATTTTAAGGAAAAAAAGGATGGTGGTCTTAATTTTGAGTAAATAGTAATTCACTAACCTGAATCTTAAAATTAAATAGCCAAAAAGTCTAATTAATGGGCTGTACTCAACCTACTTGATTACCAGCATTCATTAATATGGATTAAAACTTATATGCACTATCACTAGAAATGCATTTTTTTAAACCTGCAAATTTCTACAAGAATTTTTCACGCTTTTCATGTACAATCATTCTTGGTTCTTATAAAATGCATATATCTGAAACACAAGACTGCCTTCATTAACAATTTTATAATGTCATTTCTTCATTAGTATCAGACATCCAAGGCTGAGCATTTACAGGCTGCAATATTTTACAGAAAAGCATTGGCTATGCAGCACTAATACAAACTTAAAATAATAGCCTGAGTAGACATTAATGTGTTACAACATTAAAAATCATATATGGACGGCCAAAGAGTGTCTACAAAGCAACATGCAGCACTCGTGAGATTGTATTTAAATATCACTTTCATAATCTACAGAAAATTGACAAAATTTGGTATAAAAAATATTAGTTCAATGAATAAAGTAAAACTTGATTCGAAAAAAGTTGGTTTAAAAAAACACATTCTTTTTATGTTTTTATTACATGAGTGAATTTATTGAGATATGTATACTTGCATGAATTTATTGAGATATGTATGCTTTCACTATTCAATCTCTTTTTGGAGTTTGTTTTGAAATGAGACTAAATGTCACATTTCTATTAATGTATGTAATCTGCCCTTTAATTCAAAGACTGGTTTTGCATATCTTTATTTCTCAATTACTTAGAATTATAGAAAATGTTATTTACTATATAAGGAAAGAATTCCAATCATTCCAGCAAGCAGTGTTATTTGAAAACGATTATTGCAATTAGGTGCACTTAATTTTATTCTTTATTTTATATTTCAAAGTTCAGTCACTTATAATGCAACCATTAGAGTGACATAAAAGAAACAAACAAAAATTAAGAGAGAAAACAATTTATTTGTTACAAAGAAATAAATATCTGTAGATCAGAGCTGGGCAATATTAGAAATACATGTATTTTAAATGCATATTTTAGATACATTACTATCTCATACTAAAAATGTACCACAGTTGCGTTTAATGTTGTAAGTCACATTTGTATCTTTTATTAAAATTTTTTTTTCAATAAATTTGTATGCCATATTTCAGATGCAAATACTGTGATATTTTTTGACATAATATTTAAAGATGGAAAACATGACTACAAAAATTATTTGCACGTACAATTACTTTACTAAGTAATATACAACCTTGAAAGGACAAATATTTTATACTTTTGCTAGTTCTATTGATATTTATAAGTTTAGTTATAATATTCTTTCAAGTTCTATCATTATATATTTTGTAATATTTATCCCTCGGAATTTGGCTGCTCAATCAGCCGTAAATCAATAATTTGTGCTTTTTATACAAATACTTATAAAATCTCACGAAAAAAGTATAACTGTTTTTGAAGATTTCTTCAATTTCTATGAAATCTCCTGTATTTCATTCAATAACAAAAACTGTTTTTTACTATTTTTATGCAGTATTCACATATTTTCTTCAAAAATCTAACACCCAAACTTTTAAAGAAACATATTCATTGAACATATTCTACCTGAAATGGAAAAATTTTAAATATTATTAAGGCAATAAAATTCAAACTCGAAGGTGTATAATTTTTCATTATTGTTTTATAAGGTATAACTTAAATCAAATTCAAAGGGGAATATAACTTCATTCAGTGAAGCAATTACTTTCACATATCAGCAAAGATTTCTTTCCTTAATTTTTAATGATAATTATAGATTACAAAATATTTCACTACAATTAGGATTTTTTAGTAATGTAAATAAATTATGTTCCATTAAATATACATAATCAGCTTTCTAGTTAATATACATTACCTTTCTTTAATATTACAGATATTTTTATGATATAATCCAAGATTTTATTTTTATGTTTCATATCAGAATAAAATATTTAAAAAATATTTCATTTTTAAGTAATTTATCAATGCTCATTTACTTTTGCACTTAAAATCTAGACATATTTAAGAATTCAGAATTTCCAAAATAAAATTTTAACTTCGAAATGCTAAAGCATAAAAATTCAGTCTTATATTCAGTGCGATCTTATATTAAAAATTCTTTAATAAATTTATTACAGAGTAAATAAGTTTATAAACAAATGAGGCATGAAAAACATTCAATGAAGTTAAAAATGGCAGACAATCAAAATTCTGCCAAAAACATAACAAATCTAATGACTAATTTAAAAAAAGTTTCTAAATAATATCATATGTTTTTTAATGAATAGTAAAGTAGCTACTAATAAATAAAACTCATATAAATTAAAACTGTTATAAATATTTTAAATTGCAACAGCAACCAGATTTATGAAAAAATTAACAGTGTACAATTTATAGCTTGAGAAAGCCGCATGCATGATTTTAAAAAGTAAAAGTATTTGCAGAAAATTAGCATCAAAATTGTACAATTTACTGAAATTCTCAATGAGAAACATCACTAATACTTTAATAAACAAATTCACCATGATAACTAACAATAATTTAAAATAATTTTTTTTCCATTTTGTGAAAACGAAATAAACAATGTAATTTACTAATTGAATTAAAACAAGCAATCATTATATTGTAGGCCAATGCAAATGAAACAATTTGACTCAAAAATTCACTGTTTGATGCAAACAAATGGATACTAGATCAGAAGACTAGTATAGAAATATATCATATTTTAGCTGCCGATACAGGAAGTGCAAATAAAACACATACAAAAATAAAATTGATAAATAACTACTAACTTGCAAAATTTGTGCACTGTATTGGAAACAATAAACAATATGTACGTATTTGGTGTTCGTAAAAATTTCACTTATTATATAATACATATAACTTAAAAATTATTTATACATTATATACCCATATTTACGTTTTAACAAAATTTCACAATATATGTAACAAATAATTAAATAAATGCTCATCATTGAGAATGAAACCTATATTTTGCTTTTTACAGATGTACTTTCAAAACACAGAATATAATTTTGTAAATCTGAACATTTATTGAAAATATAATTTACGTGTTTTTGAAGGGGAAAAAAAAAAAAAAAAATTGAGAATTTTGCCCAGCTCTGATTTGGTTGAATATTTATCCCAGTGATTAAAAAATAAGAAAAATTAAATAGCTGATGAGTCTTTTATATATAACGATGAATCTTTCATTGTGATGGAAATGACACAGAATCAGCTATGGGGTCATCTGATCCAGCACTGTCTATATCATCATCACTGTAAGTGTCTATATCCATGTAAGGACTAATTCCCAGTCCATGTTCTCTGTCTGACTGATTAAGTGCAACTCGTGCATAATCATCTGTATCAATGGATTTGCAGAAATGTATTGCATACTTTAGTTTTTCTTTGAGAACAATCTTGCATGAATAACGTGGCATTTTCAGCAGAAAAAAGCATGTATAACTTTCAGGAAGGAAATGATCTGGAGGACTGTATTTTTCCATAACCTAAGTAAATATGCAGAAATTAGTAATACCTGAATAAAAAATTTTCAAATTAAAAATGCATATATAATCAGTAATCTAACAATAACATCAATTAAACTTTAATCTTCATAGAAAACTGATTACATTGTTAAATTTGGGATTGTAAATCCATATAAAATATTGTTCGAAATTTTGTACAATGTAACATGAAAAGTCAGAAGAGAATGAAGTTCTGCTGCAAAAATAAGATTACAGTAGCAAGTCTGGATAACAGTGAGGAAAATGGCTAGGTCGCTAAATTGGTGGTATATTGCCACGTTGGCAATGATTTTAGCAACTAATTTTTGTCAACAAGTTTGGCCAGAAAACGCGAAACTTGGCAACATTATGGTCCAGGCCCTATATAACTGCAACTGATTCCACCTGCAACCATACCCAGCCCCTACAGTTAACTTTAATCCCATATGTCTTTGAGTAATTTGGAATGGAAAGTATTGGAAACTCCTCAGCGGCTGGGAAAAAATTGTAAAAGACTGGACAGAATATCAGTTTTTACTTCAGAGCTGACTTTGCAGTATTCAGAGATCTCCATGAGAGCTTCCCTCTTTAGATGTCTTTTGCACTATGCTGTATTTAAGTTTCTCAGTAGTTTGAAGAGTACTGATTGCACCCTGCCGTACTGTGAAGAGCTATATGAATATTTTTCTGGAACGTTGCGGAACTATAAAGATTTCCTTTTGGGAACATAAATTTTTATCAACCTATCATTGGTTCTGTGTGCATTCAATCCATTACAAACCTGTATGCATGCAACAATATGATGTAAAATTACACTTAAGTTTTATAGCTATATTCAGATTATACATTTCAGTGAATTTTAGGGAATGACAAAAATAGATAGTATATCACATGATTGTTGGATCAAACGGAAGATAAGCCTATATGAGACTGATCGTAACTTTATTACAAGTAATATCAAGAATCAAACTAATACGAGTTGACTTTAACAGATAAGCAATTTTGCAATTGTTCCTTTACTAAGTGACAATAACTATAAGAATTTTTCCAGTAGGAGAAAACTAATTATGTTTAAATATGCAGACAAACTTTGCATATATATTTTAATGTATTTATTGAAAAATTGAACTAATGCTGATTTAGGGCTGCTATTTCCAATTAATTTTAACCCACAATAGCTTTCAGAACAATAACTTAAGTGCTACTTATACATTTATCTTTACCATTTAAATTTACAAGGCATAATAAAAAAATACAGTGAATGCTACTGCCGAGTGCTATCCAACCAATTGGGAAGCAAAACACTAAACTACAGTAAAAATGTGTAATAAGTTTTAATTGGTTCAGTACCGAAAATCAACTATGAACTAAGGCTGAGAAAAAATGTTTTAAAGTAACTACTGATCAAGAAAATGCATTAACACAAAAATTGCCTTTAAATTGCAAAATATTACTAAAAGCATATGCGAAATGTTAATAATGATGTTGATGACAATGGCTTGCCAAAATTTGAGGAATTACTTATGGGAAAAAAGCATGGAAATCAATATTTAACATGAAAGTGATGTAGATTGTGTTTTCTTTTTTACTTTGATGAAACTGTGTAATATGAGTTTGTATTTGTTGCAAATATGACTTATTGTAACCCCTTTTCCACATCATCTCTCCTCCTTGAAATAATTCTAACTTTTACATAAGGTTAAGTTTTTATTTTAAAGGGATATAGCAATTACTTCTACTTCGTTTTCACTGCCACTAAGAATGGACTGTTCCAGCCTAATTAAGATGCAAAAACGAAACTCGAAGTTACATCACCTGGAAAGCAGAGTTGTGCCTACAGCTGATTGGCTGCCGTTAGATGATGTCATGTCTACTTCATGTATAAATATCTCGCATCGCTCTGGCTTAGGCCTTCTTGTTCCTGTTTCCATTGCTGTGCTGTTCCAGATCTCATTTGGAGACGTTCTTGTGATGCGCGTCATCCAATGTTAAGTACCTCTTCTGTGCTGTGGTTCTGGGCCATGTTGGTTTTTCCAAGGTTAAGCAGCTTCGAATCTCAAGTTGTCGTTCCCAGTGGGCAGCATAATGTTTCCATGGTTAAGCAGCGATTAATCTCAAGTTGTGGTTCCCAGTGAGCAACTGCCGTGGGCGGCTTCCTGTTCCAAGGTTAAGCGGCGATAAAGCTCAAGTTGTGATTTCCAGTGAGCTACTGCTGTAGGCGGCATCATTAACACAAGTATGTTTCAGGTCTAGCAGTGATGTCTTTCCAAGCTATGTTTTCCCATGAGCAACAGCAGTGAGCGGCATTTACCAATTCAAGTACATTCAAGGTTTAATTTTTCAGGCGCCTTCTTGGCCAAAAGCATAGACCTGTGGAGAACTCTTTATTATTATTATTATTTGTCCACCGGCCCAAGAGAGGGCACTACCAGCTTTCTCCCTCTTCTCCACTAGGGAAAAATTTGGACTGGTTACTCTGTTCCTGGCTGCCATCGGTAAAGCACGCGCTCACCTCTCTTCCGCTTCACTTTCATGATTTTTCACGTGCGTGGACTTCCTAACTATGAAAATGCTTAAGTTGCAAACTGTAATCAATATGACTGTGTATCAGTGAACGTGTGTTAAAATATATACCTTTTTCTACTGTTAAATAAAAAATGTTAAAAATCATCGAGCTAAGCTATCATCATTTTATCTGCAGCAATCCAAAAATGGCATCCATAGACGAAAGCCATAAATGATGACCCGTCAAGTTAGTGAACACGTGCCTCCTGGAACCTGCTTGCATCGTCAATTTCTGTGCTCATAAAGTGCTGTGAAGTGAAAATATTGTCTGTTAATGCAAATGAATATTGTAATCCATATTATTTTTATGTTATCGTCAAAATAGTGTGAAAAACAGTTGTGTGTCCTTAAAAATGTGCTTGTGAATGTGCCTCATGCAAAACATCATAGTGCTTAGAAGTGATTTACATATATATATATATCCTACAACGTGGTTACATATCACAAAATAAGTTTTTCGTAATATTTTTCTATAAGTGAATTGTGTTATGCTGAATCTGCCGCTGACTGAGCAAATATTTCTCGTATAATTCGGAGGTAAGCCATGCAAATTCTGAGTTAGTAGTACTTCTGGCAAATACGATGCACTAAAAACACACTTAATTGAATTGCATTCTGAAAGTGAGAAGTCAAATACCTGTACACTTCTTCAGGGGCTAGAACTTGGTGATCAACACCCTTCCCAATTACTTTGCCGTATGCGAAACCTTGTTGGAGAACCCTTGTTGAAATCTCTATGGATATCCCGTCTCACGCAAAATACACAGAGTATTCTTGCTGCCTTAAGTGATGATCTCCCAAAACTCGCAGTTGTCGCTGATAAAATTGCAGATCTCACAACTCTCCCTAACATAAATAGTGCTGCTACGGCATCTACTTCTCCCATTGAACAGCAAGTTGCACAGCTGACGAAGCAAGTAAATGAACTTTCGCTAGGCATCAAAAACAGCCGTGAGCGTTCCTGTGAACAAAGAGACAATCATTCCCAACGCAACAGAAGGCATAATAGATCCAATGGACGCTATCACCATAAAGAGCCGTGCAACAGCATTTGTTTCTACCATACTAACTTTGGTTCCAATGCACGGAAGTGTGTTTCTCCATGCAATTTCCAGCAGTCAGAAAACTAGATCGGCGATTGCTTCTCGGCCAACGTTGCGACCACCACATTAATCGAATTCTTTTGGCCGATCAATCGTCAGAACTCCCCTTTTTAATTGACACTGGAGCCGATTGTCATTCCCAAGAATTACAGTCAGCACACCAAAAACCCAGCTGACTTAGTACTCTTTGCTGCTAACGGCACCAAAATGGCAACATATGGCACCAAACTCTTCACCATCAATTTAAACTTACATCGCTCCTTTACTTGGACTTTTGTCCTGGCAGACGTCAATCAACCCATCATAGGTGTTGACTTTCTCACGAAGTTCAACTTACTTATAGATGTTAAAAACAACCGTTTAATTGATGGACAAACAAAACTATATTCTTGTGGTAGACTTACCAATGTAAATCCGCTCAGTACTAGCATTCATATTTGATGGCTAACTCAAAATTTGACAAAATTCTTGCCAATTATCCCAGCTTGACAAATCCTTTGCAAACTTTTGAGAGGGCACCAATGTCAACAATTTTCCATCACACTGAAACCAAAGGACCCCCTATTTTCTCAAAACCTAGAAGATTATCTCCAGAATTACTTCAAGCTTCACGTCAAGAGTTTGACTTTCTCCTATCAAAAGGCATCATTCAGCCTTCAAAAAGTCCTTGGGCAAGCCCCCTGCATATGGTTCGTAAAGCAAATGGCGACAGGTGACCATACAGGGATTATCGTCACTTAAACGTGGTTACCATCTCAGATCGTTATCCCGTACCCCATATTCAGGATCGCACTCAAATGTTTTCAGAAAAGAACATATTATCAACTCTTGATTTAGCCCGTGCCTATCATCAAATCCCTGTTAACCCTGTAGACATTCCGAAAACGGCTGTCACTACACCTTTTGGTCTTTTTGAATTTTTGGCTATGCCATTTGGGTTACGTAATTCAGGCCAAACTTTCCAATGTTTTATACATGAAGTTTTATTTGGCTTGGATTTTTGCATCCCTTATTTTGACGACATCCTTATTGCATTGACTAGTGAAGAAGAGCACATCCGTCTCTTCGTCAAGTGTTTGATCATTTGATAAAATACGGTTTGACCTTAAACCCTAACAAATGTGTACTCAGAAAACCATCTGTTTCCTTTTTAGGTTGACTCATTACTGCTTCAGGTGTAAAACCCCTGCCTGAAAAAACAAAAGCAATTGCCGACTTCCCAAAACCTACCAATATTGTCGAGCTCAGATGTTTCTTAGCCATGATAAACTTCTATCGCTGCTTCTTACCAAAGGCAGCTGAGACCCAAGCTTCACTGAATGAACTCTTAAAAGATTCACGTAAAAATTATAAACGCCCCGTTCCTTGTAAAGACGAACTGAATCAGGCATTTGAAAAATATAAACACGACCTTAATTATGCTGCAACTCTCTCCTACCACTCTCGCAACCAAAAGCTGAGTATTATGGTTGACGCTTCTGACATTTCCATCGGAGCTGTCTTAAACGTTCGGCACTCTAATAACTACCAGCTGCTAGGATTTTTCTCACGTAAGCTATCCCCCACCGAACAAAAATACAGCACATATGACAGAGAGTTATTAGCTATTTATGCAGCTATAAAATATTTCAGGCATAATCTCGAAGGTCAACACTTCACTATATTTACTGATCACCGACCTCTAACTTATGCATTCACATCAAAATCAAATTCTGCTTCCCCGACGACAAATTCGGCATTTAAATTACAATAGCTCAGTTCAGCACAGATATTCAAGCATATATAGGGTTCCAGCAATGTCGTCGCAGATATTCTTCATGTATTCAAGGCATCGATGTCAATGTATCGCTGGATTTCACACTTATTGCCCACTTGCAAGCCACTGATGAGGAGTTAAAACGTCTGAGTGAAGACTCAAACTGCTCATTGAAATTCCAGTCATTACAACTTACTCGGGATCTCCAACTATTGTGCGGTACTTCTAACAACAGACTTCGAACTTATGTACCACTTGACTTCAGAAAAAAAGTTTTTGACTGTTTCCACAGCCTGTCGCACCCAGGTATCCGGGCTTCCAAAAAGCTCATACAAGAAAGATTCGTTTGGCCATCCATGCTAAAGAACATTGCTAATTGGACTCGTTCCTGCATCATGTGCCAATGTTTGAAAGTTACCCAGCACACACATAGCCCTTTGGAAAAAATCGTGATGCCCTCCGAAAGATTCTACCATGTTGATATAGACATCGTCGGTCCTCTGCCACCATCTGATGGTTATCGATATCTACTCACCTCTGCTAACAGATTTACTCGTTGGCCTAAAGCTTTCCCATTTAGGACATATCTGCTGACTCTGTGGCTCGACAATTCATCTCTGGTTGGATAGCACGATTTGGTGTACCATCCATTATGACTACTAATCAAGGTCGACAATTCCTTCCCACCTTTTCGCTTCTCCAACATCTATGCTTGGAATACGCCGAATTCGCAATTTGCCATACCATCCTTCCGCCAACGGCTTAGTGGATGCTTCCCCCATGACCTAAAAGCAGCTCTAAAGTGCCACAATGACAACCGTTGGACTACATCACTCCCTCTTGTGCTTCTTGGCTTACGTTCTTTCTTCAAGCAAGACCTTGCAGGTACATCTGCTGAACTAAAGCACAGCATTTCGATTACCATCTGAGTTCTTTCAGCCATCCTCTGCTCCAGTCAATCCAGTATCCTTTCTCCAGACTTTCTGAAAGGCGATGAAGAAGCTGTCTCCGACTCCTACATCATGCCACAACAAATCCACCCCATTCATACACAATGCACTGAGCACTTGCACTACTCATGTGTTTATGCGAAACGACGCGGTAAAACCATCACTCACTCCTCCATACGATGGACCCTTCAAGGTCTGTGCACGTAATCGGACTGGTTACTCAAGTATTATCTCAAGTTGTGGTTCCCAGTGAGCAACTGCAGTGGGCGGCATAATGTTTCCATGGTTAAGCGGCGATAAACCTCAAGTTGTGGTTCCCGGTGAGCAACTGCTGTGGGCGGCATCCTGTTCCAAGCTTAAGCAGCGATAAATCTCAAGTTGTGGTTCCCGGTGAGCAACTGCCGTGGGTGGCACCCTGTTCTGAGTTTAAGCATCGATAAATCTCAAGTTGTGGTTTCCGATGCACAACTGCTGGAGGTGGCATCATTAACACAAGTGTGTTTCAGGTCTACCGGTGATGTCTTTCCAAGCTGTGTTTTCCCGTGAGAAACTGCAGTGAGCGGCATTTACCAATTCAAGTACATTCAAGGTTTAATTTTTCAGGTGCCTTCTTGGCCAAAAGCATAGACCTATTAATCAAGTGAAATTCAAATTAGTCGTGTAGTTTTGTTCTGTGATATGTTTTTCACGAGTTTTTGAATGCTAGTATTCATAGAACAGGTAATATATTTATGTATCGTTAATAGTGTAATATTCTTTAAAGGAAAAACTCTTGGGGTTAATGAATAGTTAACTAAGTGTAATTTTTTAAAATGATTATGTTACACTCTTAACTTTAAGTTTCTAGTATTAATCAAATTTATTTATTGTACTTTTGTTTTTTATATATATATTGTTAATAAATTGGTTAAGTTTAAAAGTTTTGTCATCTATGTCTGCACAGTACATAATCTTTAGGGTGCTTCTATTGTGATAATTATTTCTGCTAAATGTTTTCTATAATGTTAATCTTTGCTTTTGCATCAGCACTCAAGAATATTACAATGCACTCCAAAAATTATAACAGCTTGATACAGCATTTAAGAGACACTGTTCGTAAAACGGCCTGACAATAGGCAAACTGTTTCATTCTTCATTTTGCTCTGCATCACATACAGCTTCTAGCAGAGCAATATCCATCAAAAACATTGTGAAATTTAGCAATCCGTTTTATTCCCTATATTTGGTCCAATGAGACGTGTAGCTCTTCCCCAAAGTTAAAACGAGCATAAGAGATTGTTTACCTTTCATCAGATCAATTCAAGCAATGAAGGCAAATACAAATGCTCAATCTAGACACTTACAAAGCTGAACTTCCAAAACCGCTTGCAAAAATATGCACACACACACACACACACAAAAAGGATAAGTGCTTTTGAAACAAGGAAAAGTATTCTCTCTCTGTGTGTGTGGAGGAGGGTGTTTTGGTGCTACGTCTTTTACCCCAATACTGTTTTTATTTAAACAGTCACTATGCTTTTTTCATCATATTATCTAAAAGCAACCCAAACAAATAAAAAGTATACTCTAACATTAACTTCCCAAACTAATGTAATTAGCACAAAAGCTTTAGCATGTGATAACATCAAAGAATGGAAATCAAATGACAAACTGGGTAAATACATTTACTATACACCTAAAATATCACATAAATTAGTTCAAATTCTACATATTTTCCAACTAAACCATCACTATTTCACCTTTGGAAACAAAATGAAGATTAAAACAGTTGGAAAAAAAAATAGAAAACATTAACAGATCTTGAGAGGCATAAATTTATAGGCCTAGAGAGGCTCTTATTTCAGCTACAAAAATCATCTGTCAAAGAATATGTTATTCGGTTAAATTAACAATACTAAAATCTTATTCAACAATTCTATCATTATTCCTTTTATTTACATTTAATACTTTCCAGCAGAAAAAGTATCTGTTAAATTGATTTTGAGAAAAGGTCCCATGACGCTGGAATAAAGCACACCTAAGAGTTTTCTCTTTACGGATAGCAAAAAAACTCATTAGTATCTACATAATTATAATCAGATAATTATAACACTAAAAATTATAGTGCACTCTGCAAGAAAAGCCAAATGTTTGGAAAGAAAACCTATCACTAAAATCCTATTTCAGATAAAGAACTGCAGAAGTTTAAATATACTCCTCAAAATATCCTAAAAGCTGACATCAATTATCTGTAGAACATTGCCAGCATTCTAAAACTATTTGTTTGGAACATAGTATTATTAAGGACATTAAAAAAAATTAGCTCCTTGAGTCTATTTATTTTTCTGTCTATGAGTCTACCTTAGTACACATAAATGCTACACACAATAATTTATATCAAATTGTTATTATATTTTTAAAAATTTAAATTATACCATATAAAATGTCAATTCCTTAAATAAATATTGCTATAAATAAGCAAATTTAATGAAGATACAAAATATGTAGTATATCACATATGTTTAAGATTATCTTAATGACACAAAATAAAACTACCTTTACAACAGAAATACTTCAATAAATTATCATAAATTGAAATGCAACTAAAAACTGAAATCAGCTAAACAGAGAATGTTTGTAAGAAATGCAAGAGCTAATTTCATAATGGAAATTTTCGTGCTTTTGTAACCATTCAAATACCATAAAAAGTTTTAAAACAAATTAAGGGAATGAAAAAAAAAGCAAGAAATATAGTATCATTTATTCTCAATTAAAGACTTATTAAACTGAAAGTACATTCTAAATGCAAGTAATGGCAGAAAGGCTATGATCTTCTCACATGGACAAAGGGTACACTGCTATATATTCTTACCTGTAACACAAAATCCCTGCCTCGAAAATCAGCAATTGTGCGGGGCAGTCGTGTACGCCCCCAAACAAATCTAAGAAATAGAGATCTCTCCGGGTTGTTGAATTCTTCCATTACTTCCCAAAACCACTGAACTAAAGGAGCATCAGGTTCAATACCTTTATAAGTAGCAACTGCCTTCAAAAGTTGGATTGGAATATCTGGACTCCCACATACCTGCAAGAAAAACATAATTTACTATGAAAAATAATAACAGAAAAAAATTAGAAAGGCTGTTTTAAGAAGAAAATAGGAAAAACTTCTGTTATTTAAACAAAGCTGCTTCTTATGACATATGATTACACGATTTCAGCCAACCCCCCCAAAAAAAACTATAAATCATTTTAAAAATTTTGAAACTTAGCATTTGTTGGAAAATCTAGAAATATATTTAAATTTCCTTTCTTAAAAAATATGTTCATAAAAAGTTTTAAAATTTCTTTTTTAAAAACAGAAAAAAAAGAAACATAACAAGTTTACACACACAAATGTACACATGCATGCAAACGTTTTAATGAATAATTATTTTCCAAATGTTCTCAATGACATTTTTACAAATATCAACATGAACATTTAGTGTGAACATGGATATTTTGGTATGGGTATTTAATGCAAGTATAATACTGTACACTGTGTCCACAAATTCCCATCCTGGCATTTTTTTCACAGCTGTTGGTCAAGACATACACTTCTAATTACAAAAATGTTTTAAATGATGTAAAGATTCACATTTTTACCTTTTTACATTTAAAGGGAGTCAGTTTTGTTAAAATTATGAAAATGAGCTTTTTATTAGTTTCTCCAAGCCTTACATTTAGGAAAATGTTAATACTTCTTATAAAAAGTAAATCACAAGTTTGATTCCCATAGGAGAAAAACTGATTGATATACAGTCAAAAGTCGTTAATCCGGACTTGTCGGGACTTCGGCGATTCCGGATTATCAATTTTTCCGGATTATAGATCATCAGTTTAAATTTCGTAAGATGGCATGCAGAAATTCTAAAATTAAAAATATGAAACCGTAATTTATGAAATAAAGAACAATTATGATCTAAAGGGTATCAAAATTTACAAAAAAAAAAAAAAAAAAAAAAAAAGCTTCATATTTATTTGTTTACTTTATTAAACATTTCTTTCAATGTAAGTTGTTTCGTTTTATTTGATAATACTTTCTCTTTAATTCTATAAACAAACATAATTTCTTCTTCAGTTACAAAGTTCCGCTGTTCAAGTCCCGTTAATTGCTGTGCCGAGAATACCGACTAACTTGTCAATCGAAATTTTTTCGTTTTCACTAACCTTTCTGTCACATTCTTCATGTCTTTATCCATTTTTTGCAGCAATTCCACTTTTTATTTGTTGGACATCGAAACATACTTTCGTTTTGTAGATCCTTTGGAAGTTCCAGCATCAGAAATTCTATTTGACATAATCGAAAGTTCAAGTTTTACTTATAAAATTGCTCTTACAGTCTGCAAAAAATAATAAGCGCAATCCAATTCGAAGATTAAGGAACAACGCAATCATTAACATTAACTGAAATAGATAATTAGATAATTTTAGCTTACACCGGCCGTTATACATTAAACGCGCAGGCAAAAACGTATTCTGCATTTGCGCACACGCATATGCGCAGTAGTCAAGGTCTTACGCGCACACGTAAAACGCCTGTGCGCATGTGCCAACGCGGCGCATGCGCAGAAAGTTTTTAGCTTTGAGGTCCGGATCATAGATCATTCCGAATTATGGGTGTCCGAATTAACGACTTTTGACTGTATTTAATTCCAAAACTTACCATTTCTAACATCATTTTAATTTGCATTGAGGGGCCAGTTAATAAATAAATTAAGATAAATCAAAGTTGATTCCTTCCCTTAAATGCTATTCAATGATATTATTTTGTGATTTACTAATGTCTTTATTTATGATCTTGTTACATCTGGTATGCCGAGAGAATTTTCGCACAAGTAATTTATGTTTCAAAGTCTAAAGTTATATTATTAAGATTCCGATGTAGTTTTTTTTTACCTTAGAATCATATTCTGGTAGTCAAAAACATTTATTTAAAGTACAAATATTTTTCATATTAAATTAATGCAAATAATATTACAAGTTGGCTATGTGCCAATACTGAGGCCTGACAGTGTTTTTTAGAACAAAAATTCCCTCTCTTGTTTTTTTTTTGGGGGGGGGGAACTACACTAATCAATATTTTCCCCAATAATCAACACAGAAATGTTTGTCATATAACCTCTTAACATCAAAAACCTTTTATTAAATTATATTTCATTTTTAATTACATACAAACGCAAACTGTTGTATCTGCCTATTAACAAGGAAGCAATCACAGATGCCCTTTGGTGGAAGTGAGAAAAAGAACTTAGTTGAGCAAGTGATGCATCTAATATTAGTTGAAATGATAGACTGTCCTTGTATATATCTGAAGCAATACTTGTATGGATTAACTTGTAAATACTGTGTAAATATTTCATATGATAATAATAAATTTCTAAAAAAAAAAGTTATATTAGAATTCGGCAGAGAATGGAATTCAGTATAGACTAAAAAGAATGAACATAGAAAAGGAGCATGCTCCAGGGCAACTTTTTAGAAGGTAACTGAATTTTCACTTATCCTAGTAGAGAACTAAATTTTGACACATAAAAGGTTGATAAAATTTTAATGTGACGCCTGAACAGGGACTGCCAATAATTGTTGTTTTTCCTTTAAGTAACTAATGAAACTGTTAAAATTGATATCAGTGATATAAGTAATATATATGCTTAAATAATTAGTGAATTGCTGATAATTGTTGAATTACTGAATATTAAAGAATGACTGAAACAATACATTGAAAAGGAGAGTGGCCACAAAAGGGCTGCTGTTACAAAAGTAATTGGTTGAATCAAAAGTGAATTATTAAAAACAGAAATGAATGTAGAAGAACTAGAAATTTCCTTAGAACTCTTAAATGAAAAATCAAACAAATTAAAACAAACGGATGCCGATATAAAAAAATGAATAAGCATAAAAGATCTAGACAGGGAATTAAACAGTGTTGACGAATATCGTGAAAAGAATAACTACACTTAAATACAAAGCTAACAAAAAATTGACAGAAATTAATACAGAACAACCACAACTAAGTGTGTTAAAAAGCACTGAATAGGTAAATGAAAATATGATAGAAAACGTTAAAAATTGAAAATTCAAAGCTTCCTACACTTACTATTCTGAGGTTTTATGGCATGAGTTGTGAATGGCTGACATTTTGGAACACTTTTTCATCAGACATACACCAAAATAAAATGTCTGATGCTATAAGTAAATTTAATTATCTGAAATCCTTTTTGGGTGGTACTGTTTACAACACCATAGACGGTTTCGATCTAACTGAAAAAACTTCAGCAAAACATCTCGCAGAAAGATTTGGAAATAAAGATGTATTGATAAACACCCATATAGATAAATTACTGAAAATAAGGCCTTTAATGGATTCTAATGATATTAAAAATTTCCGCAAGTTATTTATTTATATACAGAAACATATTCGGTGTCTTGAATCATTAAATATGACCTCAGAAACATATGGAACTTTATTGAGACCTATATTTCTTAAAACATTGCCTGCAGACTTAATTTTAAAATAAAACAGTTCGAAAATCAAATTATGATTTGAATCATCTAGTGGAATTTCTTTCTCAACAACTAATTCAGCAGGAATGTACATTCTCAATGCTACAGCAAAAGATCACTCTGGCACTAGAAAGACCAGAAAGTTACAAAACACAGAGTTGCAGAGTTAATGAATATAAATTTGAGGGGTGGGAACTCCATGTATTTTCTGCGACTCTTCTGATGACCAGTCTATAGCATGTAATCAAGCATCTTTGTGGACTACTGGGGAGGGGAGAAAATCCAAAATGAAAGGAATAAGTTATTGCTGTTTGCATCCATGACACCTCAGAATTAATTGCACTTCTAGAATAAGATGTGAGTTATGTAAACAAAGACATGCCACTATAATGAGTTTTAAAAAAGAAAAGTGGGAAATTGTAAAAAATTGAAAGAAAAGTAAAAAGAAAGAACAAATTGAAAATAAGGTTTTAACAAATAATTTATCTTATGAAAATGTAATCTTGTAAACTTTAATTGTGAATGTTTGTGGAAATGGTGAAAGCAATTTTATACCAATAATTCTATATACCAGAAGTAGCAGATTATACATTGTTGCATTTCTAGTCAAGAAATTAAAACTAAAATCTTTAGGTCAGGAAAGTGCGACTCATGGGCTTTTTTGGAGGGATAGGGAAAAAAAAAAAAAAAAAAAAAAAAAAAAAATTACAATAAACATGTAATTAATTTAAGTACCGTAATTTCGCGCATATAGTCCGCGGATTATCTGTGTTTAAAATGCGAATTTTTGAAGCTGCGGACTATCCACCAGGGTGGATAATACGCTGGTTGTTCACGGTTAAAATCATTGAAATTTAAAAAACACGCTGTCGTGAACTGCCGATGATTAAATATAAAAAAAGCGCGAGATTCCAAGAAAAGATTCGTATGTATCGTATCGATGGTAAACGATAGAGCATAGTGCGGAACGAATGAGTAGTAGCAAGTAGAGCTCCTAAAATCCAGGCTGGCGCATCAAGTGATGCCAGATATGAGCACTCACTTAGCCCAACCAGAGTCTTGTATTCCAGTATCCTTCGCACTGCTTTAGGCCGGGAGGGGAAAAGTAGTTGATGTGTCAGCTCGGTTTTTAGGAGCCTTAGTAGCAAGCACCTGGAGTATGAAAAAAAACCGTGATTCGTTTACTTATAGCGTGGTTTGGCAACACCGAGTGAGTGGGGTCGAAGGTCACATTTCAATACCACTTATCACGAGGATACCACGTTGCACAGTATTTCGTTTTCGTATTTTGTCTTTCATCTTCGATGACGTTGATCAAACATCGCCGGAGTTTTACTGCCGAGTTTAAACTCAAGGTAGTTGAGAAAGCTGAAAAAGATGGAAATAGAGAAGCGGGCCGTTATTTTGAAGTGGACGAGAAAGCAGAGAGAAATTGGCGCAAACAAAAGGATGTGTTAAAAAGCATGGGAAGAAAGCGAAAGCGATCCAATCGAGCACGGAAAAGTAAAATGGACACAGCTTTAGAGGAAAATTTACTGA